TGCAAGAATTAATAATTCTTCCTGTCATCTATAGTTTTGGAAGCACTTCAGAGGGGAAAAGGCAAACATCACTGGCACATTTCACAACTGATACAGAAGTGAAATGACCTGCTCAAGGTCACAAACCCGTTGCAGGGCAAAAACTGGAGGCAAAAGCTCAGAGCCAAGGATCTTCCAAAGCAGATTGTGACTCCAGGCACCTAAGTGCAGCGTGCCCCGGGCAGCACGATACAAAGAAAGGCCGGTTTCTGGAGAGCCCTGAGCTGCCACCTTTTGAATTTCAGTTGCATTTTAAAACCTGCTTGCTCTTGCCCCAGTATGGATGTATGCACAAACAGCAGTTAACTCGGAAAAATCTTGTCCATGGGCTTCCTCACTGCCTGCCCCACTGGACCACACCACCTCACAACAGCTGATACAGAGGGGAGAAGTTTAAACCTATTACAGTATTTATCAATAATCAGAACTCTAAGATGTACTGTGTATTATTATAAAAACTGCATTCATTTTGATGCTCCAGAATCGTATTTCTCTTGAACACACCTCCATGTGCACAGACATACGCAGAATTAAGACTGAAAATTTATTTTCCAAACAGTCTCACAAAACTAAATTGGTATATACCTGCTTAGGCTGACTATGCAGGCTTCATACAGGCTACACATCCGACCTCATATCTAATGTTAATACATCTCAGAAGAGCAAGAGAGAATATGGTTGCTCCTCTTTTCAAAAATAAAAGAAAGGTGAATCAAAAAGCTCAAAAGCTGGTACAAACCAGCAGACGCGGAGAGCTATGTGATGCTCACCTACCAACAAGAGCACTGAAGGGAGTAACTGGCCAAGTCATAAGGATAACACAGTATATTCACAAAAATCTCACTTTAGATAAATACTTTGTCACTAAGGCTAACTGTAACTGCACAGTAAAATACAAATGGTACAACACTAAACCCAGTTAGTCATTGGCAAAATGCCCAGGGACGCTGGCAGTGTCAGAGCTTCACAGCTGTTTTGCCCCACCTCTGAAGGTACGTTTTTCATTGTTAAAATACAATTTTCTGAGAGTTTGGTGGTGCCTTCTGCAGCATCCTCAGAGGGTATTTTTCGTTAACCTAATGTGTATCGCAATATGCTAGACATACGTTCAGCCACGCAAGTTGTGTAGAGTATTACCTCGTGCTTTGGATTCATTTCTGTGGACATTTACTGGGAAACTACCTCAGGGAAACAACAAGGAAGAAAATACTTTCAGAAACTACTGAGCTATGCTAGACTTTCAAGGTCTTTTTATTTTTAGGCTATTTTTCACTCATTCATCAGAAAAAGCAATTTTAGTAAAATAAACCGTTTGCATAAAACTTATCGTTTTATCTAAACATGCAGTTTAGATTGGGAAAATTTCAACTGGAGTCATGAAACCTTGAGATTACACAGCAATGTACCAATCCAATACATTATTAATATCTCTGGGTGAAACATGGGATTCGATCATGGCCACGGAAGAAAACAGGCACGGGAACTAATAACAAATTTAAGATATTTTTTGTAGTATTTTAACTTCATCGCTTGTACACAGAACACTGGACACTTTGAAACAAAGACTTAGTGGCTGCATTTCCTTCCACTTTTTCCACAACTACATTTTGGTTTAAGCATTCCCTGAATGGTTCATTAAGAACAAGCTCCATCGCTGTGACTGTGCCGGAGGGGGTGGGATCCCAGGTCCTGCAGGATCCTGTCCAGGATCTGTTTAGTTGCCTCTCAGACGTCAGGGGTCCCATTAGAAATTTGTTTTGCAATGAGGTCAATGATTTACCTGGTGTGCCTGCTCAGAACTGAAGAAAACTATTGCTTATACAGTGCAACAGCTCTTTGCAGTGAGGAAGTCGAGACTCTCATTCTATGTAGAAACCCACCTGCATACGCCAGGCTGTTAGCACTCTGGATTTGTGTTCAGCAGTTTTAAAAAAGTTGACTTCATCTTTCAAACTAGACCTAAACAGTATCGACAACTGAACTTGTAACTTACTTGCCATCTGAAACTCCTCTGGTAGTTCTTAAATCTGCTAGACCAACCGCTTAGCAGATTTCCCAGATACCAGGCTGTTCACATGGACCATGCTGTGATTTTCTTGACGGTGCTGAGTACCCTCAGCCCTCACCCTAGTAAATGGGAGCTGAGATGCTCAGTTCTTTGCCCTTTGCTGGCATGCTCAGCATCTCCCAGCAGCAGAAGTTGCTGTCACTAATACAGCAACGGTTAGTCACTACAGAACTTGAGGTTCCTCTAGCACATTTTTTTTGAACTTACACCTTTTTTGATCAATGGTTATTTTTTAAGAAACAGCACTGACTTGCTCAGTACTGCATAAAATACAAAAACCTCCTTGCATAAGGGGAACTTACTGTGTGAAAAATAGACTATGCAAAAAGATCTTCAGTGGAGAAGGAGAGGGAAAAAGAGAAGGAGAAAACTCTGTCAACTGTTATTTACTTTTTGCTACTTCCAAAGCATATTTTAACAAGACAGACACACGTTTTTGGAAGCTATTTAGACAAAGCCTGGGATTAGACCATGGCCACAGAAGAAAACAAGCATGGGAAGTGAGGACAAATGGCACACTTAGTCCTGGGTTTCTGGAACAAACATAAAGGGAAAAGATAAGGCTGTGAAATTCCCCTTTGATACTATGAGCAAACGTACAGAGAGGGTATCTGAAGAGAGAAAGGAGGTATTGTAGGCATGATCACATTAACAACATTGTGGTTTGGGTAGATGACAGAGAAGTGTAACGGGAAACAATAAGGACTTGAAGAGGTTTAAGTCATCAAATAATTTCTATTTCTAACTGTGCAGACTTAAACACTAATAATGGTTGGCCTAACAGAATTGTTTGCAGCAGTAACTTCAGGACAAATACAATCCTGGTATCAAAAAAAACCAAACCCTAAACCCCAACAACTTAGAGGCATGAAAGTTAAAAGATGTTCCCACAGTAAACATTAAGAAGTGCTGCAACAAACCATGTCGTGCATTAAAATACACAGGATTGGATTCATAATTAAACAGTATATTATTCAAGGCAGGAGAGTTTTTGTTTCTTATTTGTTGTCATACATTTTAGAAGGAGAACCATGCTCACTATACTTGCCTATGGGAATTCAGTGTCACATTGAAGTATGTACCTTTCATTATTAAATTCTGGGCTTAGCCAGGTTTCTGAAGGAAAAAAAGACTGTATGATTAAACTGTGGGTATGTCTGGGTGCACCTGTCTACCTAATAATTTCTGAACTTGCTGACTGAAATCAGTACATTTTGAAAGCTGAGAGGACAGACTTCAAAACTAATTAATTTCCCCCCTCCAAGTTTCATGAAAGCAGGCAGCAGGTATAGAAACTGATGCCCTGTATGCCTCAGCTGTGGGAAAAACTGCAGCAAGAGCTGTATCGGAAAATTCCTGCAGGACAGTCACCACCAGCCGGACTGTGGCCTGCTCCTGGCAGACAGCCTTGACACGTGCGCTACAGAGAGCTGCAGCTAATTTCCCAGGAAACTGAAGTTTAGCCTGCCAGCCTGGTCAGCCGGTCGTACTTCTCGCCAGTACCTGACGCAATCCAGCCAGCTGCTCTCGGCCGCTCAGCACGTCACTTGGCTGCAAGTGCCCTCCAGACACGTCTGGAGTCGTTGTCACCATCTCCTGTCTTCTGGCTCTTGCTGCTGGCCAGAGTCCATTGAGTTTCCTCCATCCCTCTCTGCTCTTTTTCTTGGTCCTTACCTGTAGTGCTGGACTCCCTGACGGTCTGATTTTAGCCCCACTTCTGACCAGTCTCTCCTCTTCCCCTCAAATCTGGTATACTTCTGCCTCGTGCGTTTGTTGACCTTTGCTCAGATCCTAGCCATGTCTTTTCTTCCACTTCATCTTAGGCTTCTCTCTCTCGTGGGGATGACCCACTTTGATCACAAAACTGGTTCTGACTCCATTGATTTCAGCTGGCACCAACACTAGACCTGGCAAATCCATGTCCATGTCCCATGTTTCATCTCCCAAGCACCCAGCTGCCCACAGTCACTCACACATCATGCTGGACTGAGACTAACTGCGTAAGGTGGGTCTCAAAAGTCATTCTGAGAGCAGGTATGGCCTAAGATAGTGGTTTCAAAAGACTTCTGGAGGATGTTAAAGTCTGTGCAGTTCAGCTACAAATCACAGATCCATAAAACACAAATTTGCCTGAAAAAAGACCTTTGTAGCTCCAGCCTCTGTGAATCTCCTGCTGCTTTGCAGTTACAAACTTCCACCGTTGTGATTAACTTAGCACTGAATTGAACTGATAAAGGAAAACAAACACAATAGGAGGAACTTGAATGACATGATTTAAGTCCCTCAGGTTTCTGATTAATTGGCTCTGGCACCTAAGTAAACCAACAATTCCACATTATACATAAATTATTAAAGTATTATGCAGTCACTTCAATAAGTTAGTCCATAAACAACAGAAAACACTCCTCAGGAAAAAAGTTTTCACTAGCCAGTTGCATTGCTGAGTATGCAGGAACATTTCTGCAGTACATTCCAGCACACCAGTGCATGGGGAAATAAAATCAACTCTCATGCTAGGATTGTGCTGGATCTGTAATCATGTTCATGCTAGCAAATTAAAAGCTCTTCCTTAACTAAAACACTCATTTCATCATGACACAAATCTAACAACTTATCTGTCTCTCTTAGCTCATTGTCACATATTTTATAAGATTGTCACTCATAATTTGCTGGAACACTGAAATTTATTGTGTGCCTAAATTCCAAATTTTAGCCAGGATTCTCTGTTCCATTGAAGAGGCACAGCTGACACGGCAGACCAGTTCTAAACTTAGAGTTGAGAACCTCTACCCTGCTTACATCAGAAAGATGTCAATTTTCAGGGAACAACATGAAGAGAGATCACAAAGCTCAACTCCGAATATTCTGTGGTTTCTCCCCCTATTGTACATACCTTCATTTTCAGTATTGGCTGGAACAGAATCAACACCAAAGGGATGCCACGGCTGAAGGTCATCTAGGCTGAACTCTCCATCCACTGGAAGAAGTTCAACTGTGGTCTTAGTTTCCGTCAATGAAGGCATGAGAGCATCATTTCCATAGCTGATTCTGGGTTCGCTGATCATATTGGCCAAAACATCATCAGAATAGTTTTGCTCTTTCTGAAGTAATTCATCTGCAAGGAAATTTCAACACAGAAACTATCTGAAGGAGCCAGCATTTCTGAGGACCTATTTCCAAAGCTATTAAGGTAATAATTTACTGTTAGGAGATTCTGTTTTCTTATGATAAAGAAAAACATAAAGGCTTGGAATAGTCAAAGCTCTGTGATCAGCACTGCTGCTAAGTAAGGCATTTTTTTTGAAACATCAACCAGAATTGTTCACTACCATTTCCTACCCACATTTCTACCACATAACAGATCACAGGTCTGTGCTTTACAAGTCCCTGGACTCTTCCCCACCACTTTTAAAAGAAGCACAAATCAATTCCCTTCAACCCAGCATGTTGCCATAAGTTAACACACAAGAAGCCCACAGGAAGGAATGTCGTTTTTATTTCCCCTTCCTCTTAAATGCTCACTATCAAAGCCCATCATGGCTCTTAAATCACCACAACAGTTACTGTATTAAATTGGGCTTGCTATAACACACTGAATCTGAAGAAACATTTGCTCCTTTAACATATATAACTTTGCCAAAACACTGAAGTAGTTCTTTGCTAAAGATCTTAAGTAGTAATAGGTGTCCGTAGGCAAATTATTTTACAAGCAACCAGGACCTGAAGCTGTACGCTATTATCTAGGTTGGGTTTTTTTGGACTTAAGCAAGGTGAGAACAATCAAAGCACTTTTCAGCTCCATCAGGTGTACACGACAGACTGTCCGACTCAGGGTTAAAAGTAAGCTCGGAGGTTGTGCATGCTTCATTACTCCAACTCCCTTCTGACACCAAAGTTCATCTACTCTTGATCTTCCCCTTCACTGCCATTTTTTTTGTAGGAGCAACACAGTACTTGCAAGTACTTCGAAGGAACTTGGTGCACAAGAGCACATTAAAGTAAGCAAGCAATTGCAATGAAGAAGATAAATAACTACTAATAATGCATTAATGTAATTAGCACACAGGCATTACAGAGCTAAACAGTTCAGAATCAAAGCCTGTAAATGTTATGCAAATGCTTGCACACATGAGCACACACACATGACAGCTGATGATACAAAAGCTTTTATTAAGACTGGCTTCTCTTTTTACTTCATTAAGGATGCCCTGACTGTCACTGCTTCACACCCACATCTGAAACCTGTAGCAATTCAGGGACAGGAATCACCACTCTACGTGACAGACCCTTTATGTCACTCTGCAGGGGCTCACTTATTTCCCAGTATCATCAGTGAGAAAGTGCATCTACATTTCTACACACAACAGAGCTTTATAGCCCTCAGTACAATCTTTTGAATGCTATTTCCCTCCCAACTGTACACCATGCCGTACCACCACAGACGTAAGCTGCACCCATGCAGCAGCCCTCAGTAAGGATCCCCAGCAAGTCACGAGCATTAGAGCTGGCACTGCTTTAGTGCCTTTATCAATGATGATATAGTAGCGCTCTGCAATACGTCTCTTAAAGACCACCTCTTAGTGACATATTTCATGCAGCTCTCTGCCACCCCATTACTACACCAAATTTGGAACATCAAAACCAAACAAAAAGTTGCAACCCTAGCCCTGGGGCGAATATGGCTTTTGAACCTCATAAAATGATGTTTTAAAACAAATTTTTCTGTTTAAACAGCAATTGCTTTAGTAGACAGTAAGCCTAATGTGTATACAAAATTTAATTCTGTGATTTAATTTGTTCATTAGAATGACTTACTAGGACAGTATAGAAAGCCTGCCTAACACTGAATTGTTTTTCCCGTCCTGTTCATTTTATTGAAAACAATATTGTAAGATACCTAATAAATCTTCAGCATCAAAGGCAAGTTTGATTTTTGTCTCCCCACTGCACTTACATTAATTCTTTATCGAAGTGTCTCCTTGTATCAGAGGAGACACAGGTGAAGCACCTCAATATTCTAAGCAGACATTGTACCACATGACAGATATTAATTTTCATTAGCTAGGGATGAAGAGACTTCACAAAAAAGGAGCTGGATGTTAGTGGCCTGAGTGAGCAGTCTGGTGTCCAAGTGCCTTGCCACGGGTGATACCAGCTGAGCACATTATAACACCAAGTCATCATGAACCAGAGGGAAGTGAGTATTACAGTGCCACTGAGCATCTTAGTGCCTGCAAGCCTTTTGCACCCAGGAACTGGGAGGGTTTTGGGACACAGCTCCTTTCGTTCCTGCTGTCCTACCTGTCCCCAGGCAGCGGTGGCGGGGAGTGGCACTGGGGGTGCTGTGCCCCAATTGCCCCTTTTCTCTGGGCGGTGCCGATCTTCCACGACTCCTGTCCATTCCCCACCACCGATGCACTCTGTGTTACCTGCAGACAGCTCCTGCCCTTGGAAAGGGACAAATGGTGTGTGGAGAGGAAGGAGCAGAGGGAGAAGGACCTGGTCTGCAGTGGTGGAGGAGCGGCACCAGGGCTGGCACTGCGCTTGGGGGAGGCCACAGTGCAGGCATGGCTGGGCCCACCAGGCTGACAGCGAGCGACACCCAACTCCCACCACGATACCGTGATTATATCCAAAGCCCTAGAGGCTGGGAGGGATGCGTACACAAAGTCTCTCTCTCAGCGCTACCAAACCGGGAGCACGTCGTCGCCGGCGCTTGCAGGCTCCATTGTTTCCCGTTCAGCTACGGCGCACAGCACGGACATTAACTGACCTGCACAATAGCTCAAGTGAGGCAGACAGATATTACAACCAGCAGATTATGATCGCATCCATTTCACAAGCAAGGAAACAATGGCCAAATGAATCAAGCCCATCTGACATGATGAATCAGACACTGAACGACAGTGAGAAATGGGAAGTTCCTGGCTTAGAAACTGTGCTGGAGTCCATCAGACTGAGGCAGCTGTGTCTGCACTGAGTAAATGATTTGCAAACAATTGTTTCGATCTCTGAACTACTAAAAAAGTTTGCCCTAGGATTTCCAGTTATTGACACTAGCTGGCAAAGTCCAAGATCAATTTTTCAGTGTTGATTTTGTTCAGAGTATTGATGGCTAGTTGAATCATCAGTTACGCTTATGGCAAGCCATACAGCCTTGCTGTTGCCCATCGACAGAGTATTCCCTCCCTTTGTCACAGCTGCCAGCTCAACTCCCCCACCCTGCAAAAGACAATTCCCTTAAATAAGCAGGGAGTACAGACACAGCTGGAGGCTAGGATGCGCATTCAAGACTGTTTCAGGGGTTTTCTTTGTGTGGTGAATATCTTCATTATTAGGTGCTGAAAATAGAGAGATTCTAGGCTGCTCTTCAAAACTTCATCTCCCCTCAAATGAACAGCACAAAACCCCAAGACAATCTTCCTATAATAGACTTTCTGTTGCTGTTGTTGCTTGGCTCATTATCTCCTTGTAGTGTTCTGCTAAGTCCTGCCATCGACAAGAACGAGGAGGATGTGGTAACTTTTTGTCGCTCTGAGAGCATGTGCTCAAAAGCAACCATGACCTTGGGAAAAACACACACTCAGTTGGGACCTCAAACCTCCCAGCAGCTCTGGACTTGGTGTGAGGGCACACAATTGCTGCTTCTCCTTCAGGCACCCAAAGCTGTCCTTCAGGTACCCAAACCCCTTCTTTCTCAGGATGAGAGACAGGCTCACTTCTGGTACTTCAATAAAACGCTTCTCAGACTTATCATCATCTCTAAGGAAGTTTCACTCCTTCTTGGGCTCACTGCAGGCATTTCCCCATGGGTCATTACTACTCAACAATAGCATCTAGAAAACTTGAAGTAAAATATATTTGGGGAATGAGACAGAAGGGTAATACCACTACAACCTCCTTTCAAGACTATTCTCTTATCCCACAGAGAGACACGGAGCCAAAAGCAAAGCAGCAGAAGAAAAGAAATAAAATTTAGTACATAATCTTCTGGTGGACGCTGGATTGTTAGAAGCCATTCGTCCATGATGCCCCTAAACCACACTTCTACTTGTAAGGCTTTGCAAAGAGCACTGTACTAACAAAGATACCATGGCAAATCCCAACAGAGGTAATGGAGTCTTAGAGTGGCAAAACCCACCCTATTTTGTAACTTTATCTGCTTTTTATTGGCATACAACGTTGTTTCCAATGTTGGGCTCGGGGGCATACTCACCCTGGCCCTTAACTGGCATAGCTATAATGACAGAAATCCCATGTGGAACAGCTCCACTTGCTGCCCCAGAACACCAGCAATCCGATAGTTACCTTTCAAATAATCATTTTTATTTAGTTCGTAGTTCATTATTTAAAGTTTCCAAAAGTAATCATAATATTTGTTTGTTGTGTTTTCTTTTCAGGGACCCTATCTACCAGATGAAAAGCTCTGCTATCACTATCACGTGCAAGACTCTTGAATGTACTTGAAAAGGAGCTTTAAAATTGGCAATTGTGATTTTGAAACTTCTATAAAGCAATTTAAGGTCTTAAACCAGATTAGAAACAAAGTGCACCCAAAACATCTCTTCTAAATACTAGTTAAGATACCACCAAATTACATGCCACAGTTTTGACCCAACACCAAACTTCCTTTGTAAAATGACATCTATGTGATAGAATATATATTGATTCAACAAATACGGGTTTGGGAACCAGCCTAAATAAACTGGTACAAATGCAGAGTCCTGTTGGCTCATATTTATCATCTTATCAGTCACCATTCAGTCTGAACTGAACATGTGCTTTTCCCAAAGTTATGGTTGCTTTTGAGCATGTGCTTTCAAAATGACAAAACTAAAAAGTGTCAGCAACCTCCTCATTCTTCTTAATGGCAGAAATTACAGTGCTTGAGTCATAGCAATTGCTTCATTTGCACGTGCACATGTATTATACCAGTTTGAAGACAGTTTACATCATACGAATGCTGTATATCACAATTAGGATTCGCTAAGAACATTTACATAATCATTTATTACAGAGCATGTGATAAGACGTAACATGTTTAGATGCAGCTTTCAGTTGTACGCCTACTTTATGGGCTAATTCAATATGTCATAGTTCATCACCTTCAACACC